TGCTGGATGTGCTCCGGCAAGTCAGAAGGATCAACTTCATAGCCCAAGTCATACCACATGGCGTCGGCCAGTTCAGCCCATTTCGCCTCATCGCCCGCATGCGTGCGGATGTACTCAGCAGCTGCTTCCTGCTTCCCCAACCATGTTGTACCCGACAAGTACCTTGGTGGCTTAAAGTGTCCCTCGCATCGTGTGGGAGCGCACGCAAGTCTGGGTGTGCGGCGGGCCATGTGAAGTGGTGGAAAGGATCGTAGCTTTGAGCATGGTGAGGCTCTGGCTTGCACGAACAAAAGCATTCCCTGCAAAAGTATGGAGCACTGGCGCAACGCAGGAGGTCGAGTCATGAGATGTCAGTTATATCCCTGGCGCATGATATGCAGCTGCGGCGCTGCAATCATTCCAGCTAGGGTGCGCGCTGTCCGGCTCAAAATAGCAGCGGATGATTCCGGCCAGGAGCTTGTAGGCTTTCACACCGACTTTCTCCTGGTCTGCAACCTGACTGTAAATGAACTGAGTTTTCGTCGACGGCAAAAGAGACGATGCCTAGACTAGATGATAGCCAGGTCACTCCCTTCAAGAGCGGGCGGTGTCTGGGATAAGCAGGCTGCAGCGGGATTCGATCGGTCGTGTACTCCAATTTCTGGACTGGCTTGAAATATTCTAGAGCTCTGCCCGTGGTGCTGAGAAGATTCGTGTTCAGTGCTCTCAGCATGACCTGTCAGGTCTGACAGTTACACAACGTCACCAGCCTCCGCGACTTACCCTGCCCGCCTGGACGTGCCTGAGGTTATGCTTCGTCTTGCGGACTTGGTTGCCATCTTCATTCCTGGCAGACTAGAGGCTCAAGTGTTGGGTTCAGTATGGTACTTGGGCACAGTGTTCTGGACTTGGGGTTGGCGCTTGCCTCCGAATTTGATGCTTAGCTTCTTTGGCTTGGACCCAGACTCCTAAGTTAAGCCTGTGTTTCGCTTGCTTAATCGACAAGACTGACTCCATTCGACTTTGATTCAACAAGACGGCAACCCTGAAAACAAACTCCAAGTGCTCCAAGGCCCCCTTTTACGAAGCCAAGCAAACCTGAACCCTATTCCACAAGCTAAGGCCCCGTCTCAACTGCGCCCGCTCGCTGCGCAGAGAACTTCGCACTGTGCTCAGACAGCTTGGTCAAGGACTCGGCGGAGGGGAGCTGTTTGGATTTCTAGAACATCGGCAAACGTCAACTGCCCAAGCAACCGCCTGCGCCTGTTTTCGTTTGTCTGCGTTGTGCATGACTAGTCAGACGTTGCGCATGTGCCCGCGCTGTCCTAGGTAGGCATCGGCCGTGTCCGACATTCCAGTGCACTAGTCGAGGTCCCTATCTTGTGAACTTGCTCCGAGGAAATTAAAGGTGCACGGAGGATGCGGAGAAGCCTTTTGAAGAATCCAAAAATGGAAAACACAGTCCTGATGACGTAGCAGAGCGGATCCTGATCAGCCTAGTGCTCTCGCTCGCAATCAGCAGTTCAAATGCTGGGCACCAGTTACTCGGCCTAGAACCACACACACGGCGAGCTAAGGCTTCTAGGCTTTCCAGGGAATCAAAATGCTGTAGCTTCCCAGGACTGATCGCGGGCCGGACATCACTTCGGCGCCGGCATCTTCACTTCCTCCACGACAGCCTGGGCGATGAGCGTCGAGGTGGCGGGTCCGCCGAGCAGTAGTTCTTCGACTAGAGTCTATAGAGTCTAGGCTTTTCAGTCTGGGTTTGGGTTGGGGCGTGGGTTTAGGCTAATGGTTTTGGTTGAACCTCGCT